GAGAAGGAGGAGGAGCAGGAGGAGGATGAGAATTAGGCAGAAGGAGGAGGCGGAGGAGGAGGCGGCTTTGGAGGAGGAGGAGGATGAAGGCGGATGAGGATGGATGAGATCGAGGAGGAAGATCCAATGTAAACCCAAGACTTGTAAATAGTGTTGCACTCAACCCTCTCTCTCCAATTTTTTTTATGCATTCCTACATGAACATATCTTCAGTGCGGGGAATGCCTGTCTGGAAGATAACCGTCTGATAATCTTCAATCGCGCCAGAACGCTCTTCCTGTGACTTCAGCACCGCAAATCAACCTGACTGTTGCGTCCGGACAATCCTGAACCGTGCCACGACTCCTTGAAACTGTTGCAAGCTTTTACAACGAATGTGCGCAACGCTGGAGCGGAATCCAGATTTTGAAAGCCACCTGCCCCCCATCCGTGAAGCAATTGCAAGCTTTTGCAGCGAAAGTGCGCGGCGCTAGGGCGAGAACCACATTTTGAAAACCGACCGCCCTCCATCCGTGAAGTTGTTGCGAACCGTAAGACGAATGTGCGCGGCGCTGGCGCGAGAGTCACGTTTTGAAAGGGGCCCGCACATGCCCGCACTCCATCTGTGAAACTTTTGCAGGATGCACGCCTCAAGATCATACATGGCGAGGCAATCTCATGCGAAACTCCCAGCCCGACCTAATTACCGACACGTCTGGGAGTGGATCTGGAGGACTAAAGGGATGGAGGCGGAGGAGGGTCCAGGAAGAGCGAGAGAAAGAGGAAGAGGAGGAGGAGGGGGACGATGGCGACGATAAAAGATGAGGACGTGTTTGTTGTTGTTGTTGTTGTTGTTGTTGTTGTTGTTGTAGTCGTAGTCGTAGTCGTAGTCGTGGTTGTAGTTGTTGTTGTTGTTGTTGTTGTTGTTGTTGTTGTTGTTGTTATCGTTGTTCTTGTTGTTGTCGTTGTTGTTGTCGTTGTTATTTTTTGTTTTGTGTTGGCTTGTTTTATGTTTAAAATGGTTCTCGGCTTCTCGGGGCCCTCACCGGGCCCTCGGGCCGTCCAAAAAAACGGCTCGGGATGACACGCCGGTCCCGTGAAGGGGTTCAGACCTCATGGGGTTCCGCCCGGCGAGAAAAACCACGACGTCGGGGGATGGGGGGGTGGGAAGAGCCCTGGAGGTTTTTCAGAAGTCTGAGCCTGCAGGGGTGGTGTTCACATGTGGTGCTGCCCGTCGTCGCCACGGCGGGACTCTTCTCCTCGAGGTCCTGGTTCGAGCGCATCCCGGGAGAGGCCCGATCCGTCCGTCTCTTTTCGGGCCCATGTGGGCTCCTCTGGGTCCCTCAGCAAAGTTCTGAATCCCAGAAGTGCCCAGACATCCTGCGTCATGATTTTTCAAGGCGCTTGCGAACGCCTTGAACAGAAATCGAGCGCTTGAAAAAGCACAACAAGGTTTCACGGGCTTATAGGCCTTGCAAGAGAAAGCAGAAACGAGACGGGAGAAGAGAGAACAGCAGGGGGCGTCCCCCCACCACTCCTGGCCGAGCTGCTCTTGGCCCAGGACCGGCCTGGCCAACACCCGAAGAGCGAGGGGGGAATGAGGAAGGCCGGAAGAGAGAGAGAATGAACGACAGGAGGAGGACGACGAATCACAATGGGAAGAAGAAGGGAAGGAACGACAAGAGGAGGACGACGAACTACTCTGGGCTGGCTGTGCGCCCTCGGGGGGGCCAGCAGGAAGCCGATGCCGCTGGCGGGGCCCCGGACCTCTCCCGGAGTGTGCTCTGACCGGGGTCCCACGGGCCACGGTATAGGTCCGGGGGGCACGTGAAGGTGGGGCAGCGGCAGAGGTGGGGCTCGAGGAACATCGCTGTAAACGGTCCGAGGAAGAAAGAAATGTGAGCATCCAGCCGGGTCCGTTCCCTAGCCCCATCCGAAAAGAAAGGGGCCTTACGCAAGATTACTTAGCAAGATTACGCGGTGGCTGACGCGGGCCGCCAACACGGTACGCCACACCGGAAGCGAGAGCGCCTACGCGCGGCCTGACACGGGGAGCTTGCGCGCCAATGTCGGCGAAGACGACTCCGTTTTCTGCTGTCGCCCACCTTGGGATATCAACCCCCCTAACGCCCCCGAAATAAGTGTTTGCTCCTCCTCTGAGTGAGGCCCGCCTGCTCCACGGCGCCCACCGCGCAGGCGGAGGCGCCGTGCCTCTCAGGGGCGTCGAAAACCGTCCCGGGTCCCTGACGTCGTGCGATTTCTGCAATCCTTTGAGTGGGAGATCAACTGAAGAATTGACTGAGAGTTGACGTACCCCAGAATTGACAGTGTCGTCGAATCTACAAAAACAAAATGTGCCGACTGTTCCGTAGATCTGCAAACAAACTGCGCATTCTTGTGTAGATTTCACGAACATGTCAATTTTGGGGCAAATCATTTCTGTTGTCGATCTCCTGCTCGAATCCTTGCATTTTTGCTGTCTTGTTTTTGGTTGTTTGCCTTTTGCCTTTCGGTTTCGGCCTCCAAGAATAGAACGCAGAAAATCCACTCCCATAATAATCACCCCAACAAGCGAATCCGTTTAGGAAGCGCACCCAAGGAAGGAATCGAACAGGGCAGGGCCGTTTACAAATAGTAAGGACCCAGGGCCGTATTAGTAACGTCAGGTCCGGGTGGTTTTTCCTGCCTTGCAAGAGCCCGTTCTTGGGCCCCTGGGCGATCAACGGAAACGGTTCCGGGCCGTAGAGCTGCCCCCAGGAAGAGGTCGGGAGCTCTGTCGGGAGCGGCAAAGAGGGGGGCGTCAAAGAGGGGGGGGTGCAAATCATGACCGGCGCCATGTGCGCGGCCCAGCGAGGGGGCCAGGGACGTAATAAAATAAGAAGAGGCGCCATGAAATCTGGGGAGATATCATGGCCCACGCCATGATATCCCCCCCCCCCCTAGTCATCACCCCCCTCTTTGCCGCCCCCGACTCTGGGGTCGCGACCTCAAAAAAAAATATGCCGGGGCCCGGAGAGGGCCACCACGCCCGCGCTGGACGGTCGCTGCCGCGCCGACACGGCACGCACCTGCCGCCGTCCCTGTCATCCGCCGAGCTGACTTTTCCAACTCGCGGCCCCCGAGGCCCCGACCGCTTCCCTTCGAGTAGTTGACCGACTGCAGAATCGATTCTAAAGGGGCCCTGGGACACACAAATAAATACACACAAACAAAAATATCCCCCATATTTTCCTATATTTTCTGGGTTTCCCACCACTTCCCATATTTTCGCATATTTTCCTGGGAATCGACGATTAATTGTCTGTGTGTTTCTTCCCCTCCTGAGATTCACCCATTACGTCTTTGTTGTAGAATCGTCGAGGAAATCAACGTCGGGACAAATCTGTTCTGTAGTCGATCCCCTACTCGATCCCGGGGGGTAGTTTTTCGTCCCCGATTCGTTTTGGACGTTCCCGGGGCCCGATAGTTGCCCCCGCGTGCTGACATCGAAGAAAACCACTTGTTTGAAAAATCATATCGTTGGAGATCTGGAACGTCGCGAACAATCACGACCGGAGCCCCAGACCCAATCTTTCTGCGGCATTTTTCCAGCTGGATCGATCTGTGATGGCCGGAGCGCCCTAGACTGGGAGAAAACGCCCGCTGTGAAATTAGCCTGGCGAACCAACCATATGCAGTTGTGAATAACGCAGCTATGAATATCGTCTTCGGTGGAGCTCCCTATGGGGCCACGAAGCGTGTGAGGGATGTACCGATTTTGGCGCAATGGGCGCGTGCGAACGCGTGTGAGGGATGTGCCAAGACGGGTCCGGTAGCGCCATGCGAGCGCAGCGACTGGTGCATTCGGTGGAGCTCCCTATGGGGCCACGAAGCGTGTGAGGGTGTGCCGAAGTGGGTGCGGTGGTGCCATTCGAAAGCAGCCACTGGGGAATTCGGTGGAGCTCCCTCTGGGGCCACGAAGCGTCTGAGTGATGTGCCGCAATGGGTGCGGTGGTACCATACGAGCGCAGCCACTGTGGGGTCCTCGGTGGAGCGGTGGAGCTCCCTCTGGGGCCACGAAACGTGTGAAGGGTGTGCCGACATTGGTGCGGTGGTGCCATGCGAGCGCAGTCAGCCACTGGGGCCCTCGGTGGAGCTCCCAATGGGGCCACGAAGCGTCTGAGTGGTGTGCCGAAATTGGTGGTGGTGCCATGCGAGCGCAACCGCTGGGGCCCTCTCCCTATGGGTCCACGAAGCATGTGAGTGTCGTGCCGAAATTGTTGACTGGTGTGGAGGGCAGTGGCAGGGATGTGAGAATGAGGTGATGATGGAGGAGGGAGGAGGAGGAGGAGGAGGAGGAGGAGGAGGGGGGAGGAGGAGGAGGAGGAGGAGGAGGTGAGGAGGAGGAGGAGGAGGAGGAGGAGGAGGAGGAGGAGGAGGAGGCGGAGGAGGAGGAGGAGGAGGAGGAGGAGGGGAGGAGGAGGAGGAGGAGGAGGAGGAGGAGGAGGAGGAGGAGGAGGAGGAGGAGGAGGAGGAGGAGGAGGAGGAGGAGGAGGAGGAGGAGGAGGGGAGGAGGAGGAGGAGGAGGAGGAGGAGGAGGAGGAGGAGGAGGAGGAGGAGTAAGGACGGGAGGAGTGATGCGGGGCGCTGTACCTTCAAAACGAGACCGCAACACCACAGACTGTTTGGGACAAGTTGCAACGCCCAGACCCCCGACGTCATGACTTTTAATGGCTTCGATCCCCGGAGGAGCCATTCTCCGGGACCGGTTTATCCTGACCTGTTTCTGACGGCCCCGAAGCCCCGTAAGGGGCCCCCAGGGGCGGAGCATTCCGCAGAACCTGCCGTCCTGCTCTTCTCCCAGCACTGGCGAGGGTCTGGGTCTCAGGGCTGCGCGCAGTTGCCCTCCCGCAGGGCCAGCACGAGGCCGGGGACAACCCACCCGCGCCCTGCGGCGTCCCGGCTGCGGGCGCGCCCGCGCGCGCCAGCCCGGGCCAGCCGTCGTCCGGCCAGGCCGCCGGCCGCACGGCCAGCGGGCCGTCGCCCGGCTCGCCCCGCGCGCGGGCCGCCGAGGGCGTCGGTGGGCGCGAGGCCCACGCGGCGTCAGCGGCGCCGTCGGCTGGGGCGCCCCCGCTGGCCCAGGGCTGCAGCTCCTCGAAGCCGGTGGCCTTGAGGCTCTGGCGGGCGGGCTGGTCCTCGGCCTTCGCGGAGATAGATCGCCCGGGCGAAAGGCTACCCTATAGGCCCTACCCAACGGCCCAGAGTAGACTGGGGTAGGCCCTACCCGAAGGCCTACCCAGGGCCTACCCGAGGGCCCAGGGTAGGGCAGGGGTAGGGTTGGTCCTCGGCCTTCGCGGGGCCCCCTCTATGGGTCCCGCGTCGCGAGCACAGCTGCAGCATCCCGGCCCCAGATCTCCGACGGTCTGACTATTTCGAATGGCATTGTTGTTGTTGTTGTTGTTGTTGATGATGATGATGATGATGATGGTGGTATTGTTGGTGTTGTTATTGATGTTTTCGTTGAACTTTCATTTCTGCAGAATAATTGTTGTTGATCCTCTGGTGCGCATTTTTTTCTTTCTGATTGAAGTGCCCTTCCTGGGGCTCGCACCCTGTCTTTTATCAGGGAATGTCTTGAGGGTCAAACTGTGTCGTTGGCCCCCGGTTTACAACAACAGCGGCTCCCGCCTCAGACTTCCTTACAATTTAGCCAGGATCCCTGTTGCCGCCCGAGACTTCCTCGCGTTTTATTCAAGAACCGCGCTCTCGCTTGGGAATTCCTCAGAATTAATATTCCGGGCGCTCTGGAATCGCGCTCTCGCTGGAGACTTGCTTGCAATTTACTGAAGAATAGCGCCCTTGCGTTGGAATTTCCTGCAATTTACTAAAGCGCCGCGCTCCCGACACCCAAGCACCCAGGAGTCGCGCTCACGCTTAGGACTCCCTCACAGATTACATAGGAATCGGGATCTGGCTGCCCTTCGTGGCTCCGTTGCAGCCTTTCGTGGTCCCTTCGCTTTGTTTCGTGGCCTCGTTGCAGCCCTTCGTGGCCCCCTCGCTGCCCTCCGTGACCCCGTCGCAGCCCTTCGTGGCCCCGTTGCAGCCCCTCGTGGCCTCCTCGCTGCTCTTCGTGGCCCCGTTGCAGTCCTTCGTGGCCCCCTCGCTTTGTTTCGTGGCCCTGTTGCAGCTTTTCGTGGCCCCCTCGCTGCCCTTCGTGGCCTCCTCGCTGCCATTCGTGGCCCCCGCTCGTTCGCGCCAGTTGTGGCCCCATGTGCGTGCCCTTCGTGGCCCCGATGTCGCCGTTTGTGGCTCCCTCACTGTCCTACGTGGCCCAGTTGCTACCCTCAGTGGCCCCATCGTTGCCTTCTGTGGCCCCGCATTATTTGCCCTTCGTGGTCCCCGCTCGTTCGCGCTCTTCGTGGCCCCATACGCATTCCCTTCGTGTCCCCGCTTTTGCCCTTCGTGGCCTACTTCGTGTCCTTGTGGCCCTGCTGTCGTTCTCTTTCGCTCTCGCTTTCGCTCGTCGCCGTCGCCGTCGTCGTCGTCGTCGCCGTCGTCGTCGACGTCGTCGTCGTCGTCGTCGTCGTCGTCGTCGTCGTCATCGTCGTCGTGGTTTGTCCCCTGTCCGTCCCTCTTGGGGTCGGGTGGACGGTCCGCGGCCGACGGTCCGCGGCCGCCCCGCCGCTTGCCGGGGCCCGGCCTTCACGGAAGAAAGGTATACCCCCCAAAAGGGGTTCGATCGAAGACGAAGAGGGCGGGTATCGAGGGTTTGGGATATGGGCGTAATTGGACACTCGAGCAAACAAGGGCGAACAGTCTTAAACTGATTGAATATTATTACTTCTAAAGAATAATTATTGTTGGGCCCCCTGGTGCACGCCCCCCTCGCCGCGCCTAGGCCGCAGCCACATTTTCATCATTTTCGTGAGGAAGTCTCAGGCAAAACGGGGGAGTCCGGATCCGGTTGTTTTGTTGACGCCCGCTTTCCCTGTCAAAAAACAATATAAAATGACATGTCTTGTTCTAACATAACCAAACTTCAAGAATCCTTTGCAAAAAATGACACGAAGTGCACACTCGCGCGCGCAAGATGAAATCCTTCCAAAACCTTAGTTTTCGTAGCGATTTTAACATACAAACATGAAAAACCCAATGGTTTTTCAAAAAAAAAGTTTCAAAAATTCATCCCGCGCGCTCTTGCGGATTTCTTAGGAAACCCAATACTTTTTCAACATTTCTGTCAAACGGGCTCTTGCGAGCAACTTTTTCACGTGCTTCGAACTTCTGCAACAACGGTTGCGCGCATGCCAGGGCCATCATCCCTGTCAAATAATACCATATGGGACACATTCGTTTTTTCTTCGCGCGCGCACGCCGAAATCTTCAAACACCAAAAGTCGTATACTAAGCTAGCTTACAGAAAATGTTACCACAACAAGTCACTGTACCCATGCGCCAGTGTAGTAGCCAAGGTCGTCTGCAGGCCACGAAGTGAAGTGTCCGAACGTCATAGGGCGGGAAGCTGGGTGTGGGTGGTGGCGAAGAGTCGTTTGGAAATTTGGTAGAGCTTGAACCGGCCCCCCCACAAAGTGGGGGTATTGCCCGCCTCCTATGAAAACCCTGGCACTGGTGAGAACGGAGTGTCCCCACGTGCTAGTAATTGTTGTTGTTGTTGTTGTTGCGGTTGTTGTTGTTGTTGTTGTTGTTGTTGTTGTTGTTGTTGTTGTTGTTGTTGTTCTTGTTCTTGTTGTTGTTGTTGTTGTTGTTGTTGTTGTTGTTGTTGAACTCTCATTTCTGAAGAATAACAATTGTTAATCCCCCCCGTCCAGTGCACATTTTTTTCTCGATTGAAGTGCCCTTCCCGGGGCTCGAACCCTGTATTTCATTCGCGAAAATCTTGAAGGTCAAACTGTGTCGCTGGCCCCTGGGTTACAACAACAACGGCTCCCGCCTGAGACTTCCTCACAATTTAGCCAGGACCCCCGCTCCCGCCCGAGAGTTCCTTGCATCTTATTCAGGCATCGCGCTCTCGCTTGGGACTTCCTTGCAATTTATTCAGGAATCGCTCTCCCGGCGCTCTGGAGTCGCGCTCTCGCTGGAGACTTGCTTGCAGTTTACTGAAGAATAGTGTCCTTGCGTTGTGAACTCTCGCAAATTACTCAAGCGCCGCGCTCCCGACACCCAGGCACCCAGGAGGAGTCGCGCTCACGTTTAGGACTCCCTCACAGATTACCTACGAATCGGGATCTCGCTGCCCTTCGTGGCCCCGTTGCAGTCCTTCGTGGCCCCCTCGCTTTGTTTCGTGGCCCCGTTGTAGCCCTTCGTGGCCCCCTCGCTGCCTTTCGTGGCTCCGTTGCAGCCCCTCGTGGCCCCCTCGCTGCCCTTTGTGGCCCTGTCGCAGCCCTTCGTGGCCCCCTCGCTGCCCTTCGTGGCCCCTTTGTAGCCCTTCGTGGCACCCTCGCTGCCCTTCGTGGCCCCGTCGCAGCCCTTCGTGGCCCCATGTGCATGCCCTTCGTGGCCTCCTCGCTGCCCTTCGTGGCCCCCTCGCTGCTTTCCGTGGCCCCATATATGTATGCCCTTCGTGGCCCCCACTCGTTCGCGCCCGTGGTGGCCCCATATGCATGTCCTACGTGGCCCCGTTGCATCCCTTCGTGGCCCCCTCGCTGTCCTTCGTGGCCCCATATATGTATGCCCTTCGTGGCCCCCGCTCGTTCGCGCTCTTCGTGGCCCCAAACGCATTCCCTTCGTGTCCCCGCTTTTGTCCTTCGTGGCCTACTTCGTGTCCTTGTGGCCCTGCTGTCGTTCTCTTTCGCTCTCGCTTTCGCTCGTCGTCGTCGTCGCCGTCGTCGTCGTCGTCGTCGCCGTCGTCGTCGTCGTCGTCGCCGTCGTCGTCGACGTCGTCGTCGTCGTGGTCGGTCCCCTGTCCGTCATTCTTGGGGTCGGGTTGACGGTCCGCGGCCGCCCCGCCGATCAGCGCTGCCGCTGGCCAAGCCGACGGTCCGCGGCCGCCCCGCCGCTTGCCGGGGCCCGGCCTGCAGAGAAGAAAAGCATCCCCCCCCAAGGGGTTCGATCGAAGACGAAATAGACGGGTATCGAGGGTTTGGGACATACGCTTCATTGGACACTCGAGCAGATAAGGGCGAGCAGTCTTAAAATGATTGTAGTAGTAGTAGTAGTAGTAGTAGTAGTAGTAGTAGTAGTAGTAGTAGTAGTAGCAGTCAGTAGTTAGTAGTAGTAGTAGTAGTAGTAGTAGTAGTAGTAGTAGTAGTAGTAGTAGTAGTAGTAGCAGTAGTAGTAGTAGTAGTAGTAGTAGTAGTAGTAGTAGTAGTAGTAGTAGTAGTAGTAGTAGTAGTAGTAGTAGTAGTAGAAGTAGTAGTAGTAGTAGTAGTAGTAGTAGTAGTAGTAGTAGTAGTAGTAGTAGTAGTAGTTGTTTCTGAATGATAATTATTGCCGATCCCCCCCACCAGTGCATACGGTTTTTCTTAATCAAAGTGTGCCCCTCGACGCTCGCACCTTGTTTTTCTATCAAGGAAAATCTTGAAGCTCAAACTGAGCCCCAGGCCCCCGGGTTACAACAACAACGGCTCCCGCCTGAGACTTCCTCACAATTTACCCAGGACCCCCGCTCCCGCCCGAGACTTCCTCGCATTTTATTCAAGAATCGAGCTCTCGCTTGGGACTTCATTACGATTTATTCACGAATGGCTCTCCCGGCGCTCTGGAATCACGCTCTCTCTGGAGACTTGCTTGCAATTTACTGAAGAATAACGCCCTTGCGTTGGAATTTCCTGCAATTTGCTCAAGCGCCGCGCTCCCGACACCCAGGCACCCAGGAGCCGCGCTCACGCTTAGGACTCCCCCGCAGATTACCTAGGAATCAGGATCTCCCTGCCCTTCGTGGCCCCGTTGCAATCCTTCGTGGCCCCCTCGCTTTGTTTCGTGGCCCCGTTGTAGCCCTTCGTGGCCCCCTCGCTGCCTTTCGTGGCTCCGTTGCAGCCCCTCGTGGCCCCCTCGCTGCCCTTTGTGGCCCCGTCGCAGCCCTTCGTGGCCCCCTCGCTGCCCTTCGTGGCCCCCTCGCTGCCCTTCGTGGCCCCGTTGTAGCCCTTCGTGGCCTCGTTGCAGCTCTTCGCAGCCCCCTCGCTGTCCTTCGTGGCCCCCTCGCTGCCCTTCGTGGCCCCCTCGCTGCCCTTCGTGGCCCCATATATGTATGCCCTTCGCGGCCCCCGCTCGTTCGCGCCCGTGGTGGCCCCATATGCATGCCCTTCGTGGCCTCGCCGTCGCCCTTCGTGGCCCCCTCGCTGCCCTTCGTGGCCCCGTTGCTGCCCTCAGTGGCCCCGTCCTTGCCCTCCGCGGCCCAGTATACGCATGCCCTTCGTGGCTCCCGCTCGTTCGCGCCAGTTGTGGCCCCATGTGCATGCCCTTCGTGGCCCCGATGTCGCCGTTTGTGGCTCCCTCACTGCCCTACGTGGCCCAGTTGCTACCCTCAGTGGCCCCATCGTTGCCTTCTGTGGCCCCGCATTATCTGCCCTTCGTGGCCCCCGCTCGTTCGCGCTTTTCGTGGCCCCGTACGCATTCCCTTCGTGTCCCCGCTGTCGCCCTTCGCAGCGTGGCCTACTTCGTGTCCTTGTGGCCCTGCTGTCGTTCTCTCTCGCTCTCGCTTTCGCTTGTCGTCGTCGCCGTGTCGTCGTCGTCGTCGTCGTCGTCGTCGTCGTCGTCGTCGTCGTCGTCGCCGTCGTCGTCGACGTCGTCGTCGTCGTGGTCGGTCCCTTGTCCGTCCCTCTTGGGGTCGGGTCGACGGTCCGCGGCCGCCCCGCCGATCAGCGCTGCCGCTGGCCAGGCCGACGGTCCGCGGCCGCCCCGCCGCTTGCCAGGGCCCGGCCTGCAAGGACGAAAGGTATACCCCCCAAAAGGGGTTCGATCGAAGACGAAGAGGGCGGGCATCGAGGGTTTGGGAAATACGCGTTATTGGACACTCGAGCAGATGAGGGCGAACAGTCTTAAAATGATTGTTATTGTTGTTGTTGTTGCTGTTGTTGTTGTTGGTATTGTTGGTATTGTTGTTGTTGTTGTTGTTGTTGTTGTTGTTGTTGTTGTTGTTGTTGTTGTTGTTGTTGTTGAACATTATTTCTTCTTAAGAATAATTATTGTTGGGACCCCTGGTGCATGGCCCCCCCGCCGCGCCTAGGCCGCAGCCTCATTTTCATCATTTTTCGTGAGGAAGTCTCAAGCCTCGATGTGTACCAGATCGGTTGTTTTGTTGTCCCCGCTTTCCCTTGCAAAAAATAAGTAAATGGACATTTATGTTCCAACATAACCAAACTTCAAGAATCCCTTGCAAAAAATAAGGTAAAGTGGACATTCGCGCGCGCAAGACGAAATCCTTCCAAAACCTTAGTTTTCGCGTAGCGATTTTAACATAAAAACATAAAAAACCAATGGTTTTTTAAAAAAAAAACTTGTCAAAATTTCATCCCGCGCGCTCTTGCGGATTCGTAGGAAACCCAACACTTTTTAAACATTTCTGTCAAACGGGCTTTTGCGAGCAACTTTTTCGAACTTCTGCAACAACGGTTGCGCACCTGCCAGGGCCATCATCCCTGTCAAATAATACCATGCGGGACACATTCGTTTTTTCTTCGCGCGCGCACGCCGTCGTCGTCGGCCGCGGGGCCCTGAATAGTAGCCACGGTCGTCCGCATGCCACGAAGTGAAGTGTCCGAACGTCATAGGGCGGGAAGCTGGGTGTGGGTGGTGGCGAAGAGTCGTATGGAAATTTGGTAGAGCTTGAACCGGCCCCCCCACAAAGTGGGGGTATTGCCCGCCTCCTATGAAAACCCTGGCACTGGTGAGAACGGAGTGTCCCCACGTGCTAGTAATTGTTGTTGTTGTTGTTGTTGTTGCTGTTGAGTGTTAATTACTAAGCAATGATTATTGTTGGATACCTTGAAAGCGCCCTGGCGCTCTCGCCGAGGCGCCAGTTTTCATTGACAATGAGGCTCACGGTTTGGGGGACCGCCCAAGCGGGCCCCCCAACAGCAACAACGCTCCCGCTCGAGACTTCCTCCTTTTTTCCTCAGGGCTGGTGTTCTTGCTCGCCGCCGAACGCCGCCGTCATAACAAAACCAGCGCTCCCGCTCGAACCCACCTCCCGTTTTACCTTGGACTGGCGCGCTGGTCTTTCTCTCATCGGCGCCGCCCCCAGCAAAAAACAATGCTCCCGCTCTCGGCATCCTCCCTTTTTTTCTCAAGGCGGTGCTCCTCCTCGCCACCGAAAGCCGCCGCCCCGACAAAACCACGGCTCCCGCGCCCGAGACCTCCTTCTGTTTTGCGCTGGACTGGTGCCCAACTCTCTTTTGAATTGGCGCCGCTCCCAGCCAGAACAGCGCTCCCGCTCGAGGCTTCCTCCCTTTTTCCTGAAGACGGTGCTGTTCCTCGCCGCCGGCATCCCCCGTCCCGACAAAACCACGGCTCCCGCTCGATGCTTCCTCCCTTCTTACTCAAGGCGGTGTTCCTCGCCGCCGAAAGCCGCCGCCCCGACAAAACCAGCGCTCCCGCCCGAGACTTCCTTCCGTTTCACGCTGGACTGGCGCCCAACTCTCTTTTGAATTGGCGCCGCTCCCAGCAAGAACAACGCTCCCGCTCGAGATTTCCTCCCTTTTTCCTGAAGACGGTGCTGTTCCTCGCCGCCGACATCCCCCGTCCCGACAAAACCACGGCTCCCGCTCGATGCTTCCTCCCTTCTTACTCAAGGCGGTGTTCCTCGCCGCCGAAAGCCGCCGCCCCGACAAAACCAGCGCTCCCGCCCGAGACTTCCTTCCGTTTTACGCTGGATCGGCGACCTACTCTCTTTTGAAGTGGCGCCGCTCCCAGCAAGAACAACGCTCCCGCTCGAGATTTCCTCTCTTTTTCCTAGGGACGGTGCTGTTCCTCGCCGCCTACATCCCCCGTCCCGACAAAACCACGGCTCCCGCTCGATGCTTCCTCCCTTCTTACTCAAGGCGGTGTTCCTCGCCGCCGAAAGCCGCCGCCCCGACAAAACCAGCGCTCCCGCCCGAGACTTCCTTCCGTTTCACGCTGGACTGGCGCCTTACTCTCTTTTGAATTGGCGCCGCTCCCAGCAAGAACAACGCTGCCGCTCGAGATTTCCTCTCTTTTCCCTAGGGACGGTGCTTTTCCTCGCCGCCGACAGCCCCTGTCCCGACAAAACCACGGCTCCCGCTCGATGCTTCTTCCCTTCTTACTCAAGGCGGTGTTCCTCCTCGCCGCCGAAAGCCGCCGTCCCAACAAAACCAGCGTTCCCGCTCGAGACTTCGTTTTGATTTACGCTGGACTAGCGCCCTACCCTCTTCAGCATTGGCGCCGCTCCCAACAACAACAGCAGCCCTGCTCGAGACTTCCTCCCTTTCTATTCAGGGCCAGGTCCTTGCCTCACCGCCGACAGCCCCCATCTCCACCAAGGCAATCCTGTCGTTCGATACTTCCTTGTGCTTTAGCCTTCGCTGGGTCTCCACTGGCGGTCTTGCATCGGCCCAGCAAGGCGCGGGCATGTGTTTTCGAGGCGGGATATGTTGAAATTCCTCGGAGGAGGTGTTTGCAAGACCTCATTGGGCGGGAGATCTGGGAATGGGAATAACGGACCCCGTTATAGAACAAGAGTTTCCCGTTACGTGGATGGTTATCATGATGGTCGCATGCTTCGTGTGGAAACATCGCGCATGAGGGTAACATGATTGTTGTTGTTGTTGTTGTTGTTGTTGTTGTTGTTGTTGTTCTTGTTGTTCATGTTGTTGTTTTTTGTTTTCCCCCTCCCCCCCCGTTTCGGCCCTCGGGTTAGGTCGGGCCTGCCCCCCTGCAGGGGGATTTTGGACGAATAATAAAAAATAATCGAAAAGTATTCCAAACATATTCGAACAAATACTAAAAAAAATGTCCCCAGACTATTTTTACTATTTTTGAATATTCCCCCTGTGGATGTAGAGGGACAGGCCCGACTTAACCCTCGGGGCCGCTTTCGGCCCCCCCAGGGCCGTAGAGCATGGATCCGGGACGTGAGACTGTTTCGGGGAGGCGGTTGAAATCTCTGGGGCCGTGAACTGAACAACAAATCAGATCGGCGGATGTCTGGGGCCAGAACCCTCGACCCCATCTTTCTGCGGCATGTCTCGAGTCGGATCGGCCCGTGGGGATCCAGGGGCCCGAAGCCAAGCGAGAGTGCCGGGCGTTAGCAACTTGCAGGTCGCCGGATCTCAGGGGGCTCGGCACCGCAGACGACGTGATGGGGGAGAGCACCGCTGGACGCCGACCTTCTCGGGGGCGCCGATCGCGGCGGCCACCTCGGCAGGGCGCTTCTCCCACAGCCGCCGCAGCAGGCCCACCAGCGAGGCCGCGGGGAGGGCCACCAGCGCCGCGAGTATGGCCTCGTCGAACTGGCTCGCGGGGGCTGGCCACAGGCTCGGCTCCTCTGCCACCGGCGACGGGCCCGCACGCGCCGTGGGCGACATCGCCCAGCTGGTGCCGGTCTCCGGCGCCGCCCCAGGCCGCAGCCCGACACTCGGAGCGGCCGCGGCGAAGCCGCCGAAAGGCCTGGCGGGCTCCGGCAGTGGGCTCCGCGCCGCCCCTGGCCGCAGCGCCCCGGCGTGCGGGGCGGCCGCGTCGAAGCCACCGAGGGCCTTGGCGGGCTCCGGCTGCGGGCTCTGCACGGGGGTGAAGGGACTCTTGTCCTCGCGCTCCTTGGGGCACGCGCGACAGGGAGGCGAACACATTGGGACGATGCCGAGCAGCCGGCTGTCCCAAACCGACGTCGGCCTCTGTGGGGCAGAAGACCTCCGTCCCAAATGGACGCAGTGTCCGCGGCGATGCCTGCAAGGAACCCGGTTCCGCATGGGCAGGGACTGCCGTCTGGCCTTCTTGACCATCTTGTTTCGGTCCCCACTTCGGCCCCCCGATCCTTCTTCTCCTTCTTCCTGCGGTCCCGCGGCCGCTCCTGAGGGGCGGCGACTGTGGGAATTGGCTCAGGAGGGAAGCAGTGCTCTGGAGTCGGCGATGCATCGCCGAGGGGAAACATTGCTCTGGAATCGGCGAGACATCGCCGATGGATCGGCGCTAGGCCCCCCGAGGGCGAACCCGCACGCTCCGGGGCGGGGCTGGCCATCGGGCCCCGATCGGCGATATCGCTGTGCGGCTGGGGGTCGATGCCCTCCCTCCCTCCCTCCCTCCCTCCCTCCCTGCCTGCCTCCCTCCCTCCCTCCCTCCCTCCCCTTCCTCCTCTCCCTCCTCCTTCCCCTCCTCTCCTCCTCCTCCTCCTCCTCCTCCTCCCTCCTCCTCCTCCCGTCCTCCTCCTCCTCCTCCTCCTCCTCCTCCTCTCCTCGTCCTCCTCCTCCTCCTCCTCCTCCTCCTCCTCTCCTCGCTCCTCCTCCACCTCCTCCCTCCTCCTCCTCTCCTCCCCCCCTCCTCCTCCTCCTCCTCCTCGTCCTCGTCCTCCTCCTCCTCCTCCTCCTCCCTCCTCCTCTCCTCCTCCTCCTCGTCCTCTCCTCGTCCTCCTCCTCCTCCTCCTCGTCCTCCTCCTCCTCCTCGTCCTCCTCGTCCTCCTCCTCCTCCTCCTCCTCCTCCTCCTCCTCCTCACCTGTGGTCTGCGGGGTCGACAGCTCTGCTCTCCGGCGGCCGCTCTCGGGGCGCTCCGGGGCAGCCACGGAGCTCTCTCTCGGCGAGGCGCGGCGAGGCGCAGCTGCTGGAGCGCACCGAGAGGCTGAAAAGCTGCCCAGGGCCGGCGAAGACGCCCGAAACTCTCAGACCCCGAGCCGACGAAAAAGGCGCTCGCAGGCGCTCCCAGGCGCTCCCAGGCGCTCCCAGGCGCTCCCAGGCGCTCCCAGGCGCCCCCAGGCGCTCCCAGGCGCTCCGGGCACGCTCCCAAGCGCTCCCAGGCGATCCCAGGTGATCCCAGGCGCTCCCAGGCGCTCCGCCTACCTCTACGACCACCCTTCGGGTGAGAAGAAGGTTCGTTCGGGGGGGAGGAGCCAACGTCTCACTCAATCGATCTCATTATCGATCTCGCTATCGAATCGATTCAACGATCGATCTCACTATCAATCTCACTTGTTCGATCTCACTTGATCGACCTCACTTGATCGATCTCACTATCGACCTCACTGTGAACCTCACCATCGATCTCACTATCGATCTCACTGTCGACCTCACTCTCGATCTCACCATCGATCTAACTATCGCTCTCACTATCGATATCACCACCAATCTCACTATCGATCTCACTATCGGTCTCATTGTCGATATCACTATCGATTTCACTACAAATCTCACTACCAATCTCACTATCGACCTCACTACCGATACCACTATCGATCCCATCATCGATATCACTATCGATCTCACTACCGACCTCACTATCGATCTCACAATCGATCTCACAATCGATCTCACTATCGATCACACTATCGATATCACTGGACACCACGGGACACCACGGCGGGACACCACTGGACACTGCGGGACACCATGGGACACCATCACGGGATACCATGACGGGACACCACGGGACACCGCGGGGCGCCGTGGGACACCGCCGGACACCGCGGGACACCTCGGGACACCATCGGGACACCACGGCGGGACACCGCAGGACACCACGGAACACCATCGGGACACCACGGCGGGACAGCCCGCGGCCACCGCCCGCCACGCAGCCGGGGTGGGTCGAACTTCCGTCGTCGCCGCGCCCGAGCCAGAGGAGGGTTCATTCCTCTCGCGCGCCCACGCAGCTTCGCCGCTCCCGCAGGCACGACACGAAGCCGAAACCGACTTCCCGCTTGGGGGGGCTCTCCGCTTCACACTGCGATCTCACGCCCTCGCCTCCGATCTCGGAGCAGGGCGAGCAGAGACGAGAGCAGCTCAGGATCGGCCCCCGGAGCCCTCCCTGGGCCCAAGCGCCCCAGCTTTCTGAGCTCCGCCCGGCCGTGGCGGCGAGGGGGGGCCCCCAGAGCCCAACTGCCACTGTCGCAACTTGCCCTCCTCTGCCCATCGCTGCCCCTGGCCTTGCACGCCACCGCCGCCTCCGCCGCCGGCGCCGCGGGGCTGGCCTAGCGGGGCACAAAACTGCGCAAACATCAGCTCTCGAAGGTCCGCGCGGACTCCTTGGATCGGCGCTGGACACCCCCTCCCTGGTGCGTGGAGCGCGCCAGGGTCGGCGCCGGGGTCGGCGCCGCCGACCTTCTCCGACGTCGATGCGAGCAGCCCGCGCGGAGCTCCGAAAGTTTGTGCTTTGCCATTCTTTGTTTCTCGATGGCCCGAGCGATGTCCGCTATCCTGCACCGCTGCGCGGGCTGGACGATTCGCGGGGCCCCCTCCTCCTCTCCCCTCCTCCTCCTCCTCCTGCCTCCTCCTCCTTCCTCCTCCTCCTCCCCTCCTCCTCATCGCCCATCCTCCCCCTCCTCCTCTCCTCCTCCTCCTCCTCCTCCTCCTCTCCGCCTCCCTCCTCCTCCTCTCCTCCTCCTCCATCCTCCTCCTCCTCCCTCCTCCTCCTCCCGGCTCCTCCTCCTCCTCCTCCTCCTCCTCCTCCTGGCTCCTCCTCCTCCTCCCCTCCTCCTCCTCCTCCTCTCCTCCTCCTCGCTCCTCCTCCTCCTCCTCCTCCTCCTCCTCCTCCTCCTCCTCCTCCTCCTCCTCCTCCTCCTCCTCCTCCTCACCGTACATCCACGGCTTCTCGATCACCAGACCCTTCCATGTTGGGCCGACTCTGGGCCACTGGAGGCGCTCTCCACCTGGAATGCCCGCGGCGGAGTCGCGGCGAGTCGACACGACTCGAGCCTGCAGTGCGTGCTTCGCCCACGGATGCGGATGCGTTCTCAGATCCCCGACGTGGTGACTTTTTCACAACGCTTGCTATAAACGCGAACTCATACATATTCGGCAGCATTGGTTGCGATACGTGTGCGTTTGCGCCATTCCGACATGGTTTCGACGATTCGTCTTCGAAGCCCCCGCGAACTGCTCAAACCAGATAGTACCGGGCAACCGGCCGCGGAAACGGGAACAAGAAACTTACTGACGTCGACCCCCTGAAAAGACTGGACCCCTTCTCCGGGACTGGTCTTTCATCCCGAATCGTTGCTCCCCAGTCCCGAGGCCCGGCGAGGGCCCCCGGAGGCGGAAAACAGCGACAGACCTGCCGTCGTGACCGTTTTCCACCACGCGAGGGGCTCTGGGCTCTTCGCCCCCGCTGGCCGGCGGGTCGCCGGAGAGCGGCGCGGGCTTCTCGCGCCGCAGCTCTGCCTGCAGCTGCTCCCGGACGCTCTGCGCCTGGCTTTAGGTCGGGCCTGTCCCCCTACAGGGAGATTTTCGAAGAAAAATAAAAGTTACCCCAAAAATGAGAACATACAATTTTTTATTACTATTATTATTATTATCATCATCATCATTATTATTATTATTATTACTATTATTATTACTATTATTATTAGTATTATTAATATAATAATAATAAGTATTATTATTATTATTATTATTCGTATTATTATTATTATTATTATTATTATTATTATTATTATTATTATTATTATAACAATAATAATATATTTTTGTACCTTTCTGGGGTATGTTTTTAATATTTCCCCACATCCTAAGTGGGTTTCTTGTTTTCTCCGGACACACTCCGCGCAGGATGTCCTCACCCCCCTCTCTCTCTTTCTCTCTCTTTCTCTTCCTTTCTCTGGCCGTCGTCATCATCACTCATTATCACTCATCATCATGATCATCCTGATCATCACTACCATCATCACCCCCGCACCCCTTCACTCACCATCATCATCATCACCACCCATCGTCACTACTCATCATCGGCCTCGTCATTGTCACCATCATCTTAATCATCACACTCATACACCATTATAATCCTCTTCATCAGCAACATCATCATAATTTGAACAATCATCATCATTACCACCCTCATCCTCATTAGCACCATCATCATCATTCTGTCTCTCATCATCATCACCACTCACCATCATCAACATCATCCTCATCACCACTCGCTCACTCATCACTTCATCATCACTCACTCCCTAGTCTGAATATGGAGGACGCCTCGAGCCGGAGCCTCGTCAGTGAACGAATTGCGAGGAAGTCTCAGGCGCGATCCTCTTCCATATGGGTCCCGCACTTCATGTTGGTAATCCGAACGGGTCATCCTCAAACCTGTAATTGTCGTCACTTTTGGGCTCCTGAAGCCTGAATCTGGAGGAAGTGCCGGGCGGGAGCCTCGTCTGTGGGTGAATTCTGAAGAAGTCTCAAGCGGGAGCCCCCTCTCCCTATGGGGGGCGCAATTCATGTTGGTAATCCGAACGGGTCACCCAAAACGTTTAACTGTCGTCATTTTTGGGCCCCTGAGGCCTGAATATGGAGGAAGTATCAGGCGGGATCCACGTCTGTGAATGAATTGCGAGGAAGTCTCACGCGGGAGCACCCTCTCCCCTATGGGGCTGGCCCTTCATGTTGGTAATCCGAGCGGGTCATCCTCAAACCTGTATCTGTCGTCACTTTTGGGCTCCGGAAGCTTGAATATGGGGGAAATATCAAGCGGGAACCTTGTCCGTGAGTGAATTGCAAGGAAGTCTCAGGCGGGAACCCCGTCCCTATGGGGCCTGCACTTCATGTTGGTAATCCGAACGGGTCATCCAAAACGCGTAACTGTCGTCACTTTTGGGCCCCTGAGGCCTGAATATGGAGGAAGTATCAGGCGGGATCCACGTCTGTGAATGAATTGCGAGGAAGTCTCAGGCGGGAGCCCTCTCTCCCTATGGGGGGCGCATTTCATGTTGGTAATCCGAACGGGTCATCCTCAAACCTGTAACTGTCGTCACTTTCGGGCTCCTGAAGCCTGAATATGGAAGAAGTCTTGGGCGGGAACCTTGTCTGTGAGTGAATTGCGAGGAAGTCTCAGGCGGGAGCACCCTCTCCCTATGGGGGCCGCACTTCATGTTGGTAATCCGAGGCGGGTCATCCTCAAACTTGTAACAGTCGTCACTTTTGGGCTCCTGAATCTAGAATATGAAGGAAATATCAGGCGGTAACCTTGTCTGTGAGTGACTTGCGAGGAAGTCTCAAGCGGGGGCCCCCTCCCTATGGGGCCCGCAGTTATGTTCGAATCCGAGGCGGGTCACCGGGTTCTTGTAACTGTCGTCACTTTTGGGCTCTTCAGGCCTGACTGTGGAGGAAGTATCAAGCGGGAACCTCGTCTGTGAGTGAATGGCGAGGAAAACTCAAGCGGGAGCCTCTTCCCTATGGGTCCCCTGCTTCATGTTGGTAATCCGAGCGGGTTATCCGAGCGAGCTTTTTGGGCTCCTCAGCTCGTGCGGCATGAATACGGGGGAAGTGTCAGGCGGGAACTTTGTCTGTGAGCGAAGTGCGGGCAGCCTCGTCTGAGCTGATCGTCAGCAAATTTGCTGTTGTCATGGGGCTGCGTGCCCGACAAGACCACGACGACGACGACGACGAAGGAAGAAAAGAGGGCTGAGGAGAGGGCGAGAGGAGGGTGTTTGCCATGGCCGGGAGGTAAGGGATAAGGGCAAGCTAAACAGATTATCATGTGGGGTCCTTACGTCGGAGTAATTTTTATGTTTCGTCGAAAATCCCCGTAGGGGGGCGCGCCCGCCTCAAGCCTGGCTCCACGGCGTGCCAGCCTCCGCCGCGCCGGCGCCCGGCGCCCGCGGGCCGTCGGCGGGCGCGGCGTCGGCGGCCTCCGCGGGCTGCCGGCGGAAGGAGAGCCTGGGAGACAGGGGGGGGGGAGGAGGAGGGGGAGGAGGGGGGGGGGGAGGAGGAGGAGGAGGTAGGAGGAGGAGGAGGAGGAGGAGGAGGAGGAGGAGGAGGGAGGTGGGAGGAGGAGGAGGAGGAGGTGGAGGGAGGCGTAGGAGGGAGGAGGAGGGAGACAGGAGGACAGGGGAGGAGGAGGAGGTTTGCTGCAAGAACGATGCCTGGCGGTCCCCGCCCCAGCTCGCCACATGAGAAAAGGATGGGCGGGCGCTCCGCCACGGGGTGCCGTCCCGCCCCGTCCTGCCTCAGTCCATGAGGCACTCCCAGAAAGCGTCGCACTCCTCCTGTACCAGGGAGCGCGGTACCGCTTCGAGGGAGACCTTCACTGCGTAAGGATTCCTGCCTCGGCGCAGGAGCGAGAGGCGGTGCCCTGCGGTGGGGTTCGCTGGGGCCCCAACGCAGGCGCCCAGGAGCTTGCGCCCCCTCTCGCTCGAAAAGACACCGCACCGATCGCAGAATGTATACTGGCCCACGCGGTGCAACTCGTGCCCCAGGGCCGCTCCACGGAGGGCGGGAGAAATGTCTCCTTCCCCTTCCCCCCGCCCCAGCCCGACTCCCCAACGACGATCCACCCTCATCTTACCCAGGCAGGGTCTGCGCGCCAACGCGCGCCTGGTCTTGCTGGAGAAAGCCTTGCGGCCACGCGTCGAGCAACGCCACGCCCCCCTCCTCCAGAGGAGGACGTGGGCTCGGGCCCCCTCGGGCGGCCCTTGCCGCCGTCGGCGGGCCCCGCTGGGGCCCGCGGCAGGCCCACCCGTGGAATCCCCGAAATCCGCCGTCAGCCCCGTCACCCCCGCCACCAGAGTCAACGCCGCCTGGGCCTCCGCCGAGCGGGTGGTCCAGGTCTGGGCCTTCCACGGGGGGACCTCCTGCATGTCGGCCCCTAGGCGGGCCTCATTATCTGCCAATTGATTCCCTTGAAAATCGAGAAGGCTTTCGTGCGAGTCATCCTTTGGCCCGCGAGCATGGGCCTTTACCTTGACGGCCTGGAAGTCGCCTTCTTGGCTGAAGCTATCCTGGAGCTGGGCCCAGATCCTGCCCCAGAGGTCGGCGTGAGGCCTCCGAGGGCTGCAGCGCCAGCGGGGGCCTCTACGGAGGCCTCGAATGACTGAACTGTTGTCGATCCCTACCCTCAGCGGAGGGTGGGCGCTATACAGCAACTTGAGCAATCCATGCAATTCAGCACGGAGGACGGAGGCGAGGCTACGCAGCCCTGGGAGGGTACCCCGCATGGCCTTGACAGCCCCCCCGTCCTGGTCCAGGAAAACGAAGCCCCAACCGAAACTCTTGAGCCCTGGAGGGCCTCTGGCCGATCCGTCGGAGTAGGCCCGCCCTGAGACCAGCGGGGGATTCACAAAATCTGGGTTTTCATCCTCCAGGGCAGAAATCCAATCAGACTGCGGGTTCTCCAGGGGGTGCTCGTGAAGCCCACGGGATAAGAGGAGGGAATCCGAGGAGGAGGATTCAGCACGATGCACGATCCCTTGGAGGCCCTCAACCTCGGCGACGGTGGCTATCGCAGCTCCTCGGTCTGGGCAGCAACAGAAACGATGGTGCTGACATCCGACTTCAGCGCCACAAGCTTGACAGGACCTGTCGTCCCCGAAACCCGCGCGCCAGACCTTTTCCTAGGTCCAGAAGTCTCGGCCTATGTCGGCCAGGACAGCCGATCGCCTCTGCGGCGATCGGTTAGCCTTTCGCCGAAGGAGAGCCCGAATAGGCTCGAGGAAAGGACGGGTGATTCCGAGGTCCCTGGAAGCTGCCCAGGAGGTCATTGCCGCAAATTCCAAACGGGTCCAGATCAGCTTCTTGAGACACTGCGGTGCCGTCCTACGCAACCCCCAGTGCTGCCCGAGATGGTCGGAGAAAACGTGAGGGGCAGGCCACGTCCACGAGAGGAGATGGAGTGTGGCCCAGACGGCGGAGGCAGGTCCTTTTATCTGTCTCCAGGGGTTGCTCCCAGGCTTGGCGGCAGCGGCCGCCGCAACAGCGCTGCGCCACCCCGCAGCCATGATCTCCTCATGGTTGCCAGCAAAGATAGCCTCCGCCCGTTTGAGCAGTGGCTTCGTGCAAGCGTCGACCAGGGGGTCACAGCGAAGCGTCCACAGGCGTAGCAGTCGGTCCTTACCGATTGCGTCCCCGCCCAGCGCTGAAGCCATGAGAGCCCTCGCTCGGGTGAGCCGAGTCGGGTCCATTCCGAGGCAGACCGCCCCATACAGCACAGAGGGGAGAAATCCCATACGCGCAACTTGAAAGGTGCGCGCGCCCTGCTTGCCGAGACTCGTTAGCTTACTTCTACGTCGCCGAGCGCTCCCCATCCTGGCATCGGCTCTGGCGCGCAGCGACGCAACTCCTCCTCCCGCCGAATCAACTCCAAGCTGCGTGCTGTTGGCCTGGACCTCCAGTCCAAGGCTGTGGGCCCAGCCTTTGATGCGGGCTCGCAGGGGGCGCTGCGCTGTCATGATGAACCCCTTGCCCTTCGGCTTGTCTGGTCGGGCCCTGGAGACGGGGATCCCACGGGCCTCCATTTCTTCTATATACTGGGTCGTGGCCGCATGCAGCGAGGCCGAGACATCCGCCTCCGCACCTCGCGCCTGAATGCTTAAATCATCGACAAATAGCTTCAGCTGCATGGCAGGGTGCTCTTGCGCCAACCCGTCTACAACTGACAGGATGGCTAGCTTGAGGCATCTCGTGCCCCCGCTGCTGCCAGCAACGACTGCAGAGAATGTGGTGACCGAGTGCACCGACACCACGCCGCGGAACGAAACACAACGCGTGGCTGTGTATATTGAGATCAGGAGCTTCAAAAGCTGCAACCGAAACTGATGCTTGGGCGCCTCGGCCCACAGCAAGTACATCGTGACATGCTCGAACGCCTTCTCAAGGTCTAGAACCGCCGTGCCCGTCACCTCCCCAGGTTGGGCTCCTTCGTCGAACAACATTTGCTGCCATATCGCTTCCTCTGAGCCCCCGCCTGGCGCCGCGAAGTCGTAGTCCCGTCGAATCTCCCGCTCCCAGTCGTGGAGCTGGTGCGAGTGCGCGCGCTCCACCAGCCGCGCGGCAGTGGTGAGGAGGCCGATGGGCCTAGTCCCCCCGCCCTGCTTGGCCAGTAGAAAATACATCGCGTAGCGCAGCTGGGGGGGCCACCTGGCCGTGCGCGACGCGTATGCGACGAAGGCGGCCAGGAACACGAGCCCTTCGTCCCCCAAGCTCGCGGACCACCTGGGGTGCCAGTTGTCCACCCCGACCCCCGTGTGCTCTGGGAAGGCCCTGCATATGGACCTGATGTCGTCCGCTGTCGGCTCGACCATGCTATGCTCTGGTCGCCTCCCAGGGCCGAGGGAGCTCACCTCGGCTCTGGGCGCCGTGGGAGGTCCAGAGGTCGATCCACTTCAGCGCCTCCAGGTCCACCGCGGCCTGTGGACAGGTCATGTCCAGATTGGTGTGCCCTCGGGCCCCGAGCGTGGGGTCGATCCCCTGGCGCCACTTCGACATGCGGTGGACGAAACCTGCGCCTCCTTGTGAGCCGTCCTTGAGCCTCTGCCGCCACGCCTTGGCCCTCTGGTCTCGGAGGCCCTGCTCGATAACGTGGGCCTGCTGCGTGGCCCGACGCTGCAGCTCCATCGCCCTGGGGGCGTCCTCCCAGAGCGCGTCGCCGTCCCAGGTGAGGTCGCCCAGCGATAGGAGCTCGGCGTGCACGGCCTTGGCGTCGTCGCCCAGCGCGTCGCACCAGCGGGCAGCACCATGGTGGAGGCGTCTGCGCAGGCGCCGCCACTGGTCGGCAAACGGCTGCCAGTCGCGCCGCTGGCGGGCCGCCTGCGCCAGCCAGACGATGTCCCCGACGCGGCTGGCCACCCAGCGCCATGCCCTGGAGCGCGTGGTGCCCCTGGGCCTCGCATGCGCCTCTGGGCCTGCGCCAACGAGGTCGTGGATGCCCTGCAGGTCGTGCTCGGCCGCCGCCTAGAACTCAGCCCACAACTCCTCCAGCTCGGCGTCGCTGTAGCTTGCTCCGCTGTCGAGGATCGGCCAGGCTGGAGGCTCCCGACGACAGCCCACGGGGAGGCGAGTCGGGAAAGCACGAGGCTTGACCAGCCCCCAGCCTAGCCGCTCCCGCAGTGGCCTCTCCGTCGTGATGGCGACGGGGCTGTGCGGGGCGGTGGGCGCGTCGAGCACCTCCGCTGCACCGAAGGCCGACGCGATGCGCGTGTCCACCACTAAGTAGTCGATGACCCTGCCGCCTCCCTTGCCTTGGCAGGTGGGGGCGGCCGAGGAGAGGATGGTGCCCCCGACGTCGGCCACCCAGCCCGTGGCCATGAACGTGTCGGGGGTGTTGTTGAAGTCGGCCTGGAGGACCCACGGGATGTCGTAGGCCCTCACTAATTCTCCAATGGCGTCCAAGATGGACAGGTTGCGAACCGTCCAGCCCTCGGAAACCCAGAAGTAGGCGCTGAGGACCATGAGGCCGCCACGAAGAAACCCAGGGGTCCAGGCCGCCACCAGCCTTCCTGGCGATCCTGGCGGCGAGAAGTCGAAGGTGTCCGCGCCCTCGAGGTAGGTGAGGCCCACGCAGCGTGGGGCGACGATCCCCACCCCTGCCACTCTGCCGCCACCTGGCCCCACCGCCGCGGGAACCAGGGCGACGGTGAGGTGCCTCTGGAAACAGCTGGCACTGATCTCGCCGACGTAGTCGCTGGTGAGGCGGTGCTCCTGAACCAGCATGATGGTATTCCTGCCCAGCGGCATCTCGTCCAGATGGTCGACGAGGGTGCCCCAGGCGCTGCCGTTGAGGCCTCTGAGCACCATGCCAGGCTTTGCGTGGCGCCCCTTGCCTCGAGATCTGGGCCTCCAGTATCCCTCTCCCCAGCTGGGCTGCATCGGCCACCCCCCCGTCGGGGGAGCCGAGCTGGGGGCGCTCGTGTCGAGAGGCGTCGACCACCCGCACGTCTGCGGCTCTCGGTCCCACGAGCACATCGCTGATGGCATCGACCACCCGGGAGGAGGAGGAGGAGGAGGAGGAGGAGGAGGAGGAGGAGGAGGAGGAAAAGTAGGAGTAGGAGGAGGAAGATGGAGGAAGATCAGAGACCCGAGGCTTCGACAAAATTGGAGCGGGCGGCTTTTAGCCGTTTGCGGCCTCCAGGGGCCCTCGCGGGGCCATGGGGCCGTCAAGAAACGACTCGTGATGAAACACCGGTCCCCGGGAATGAGTCGTGAGCCCGGGGACCCGTGTCTCGAACAAATCGAGATGCTGGACCAGGGCGAGGCCAGCGTGTCGCGCCGGGGCGTGGTGGCCAAAGCTGGCGGCGCCACGCGCGAAGCAAAAGCTCATGACCGTACTCATGTGTGTAACTGTCGAGGGGGGGGACGTCGCATTCCTGGGCCCAGGGCGAGGGAGGAGGAGGTAGGGAGGGAGGGAGGGAGGGAGGGAGGGAGGGAAGGAGGATGAGGAGGAGGGAAAGGAGGAGGAGGAGGAGAAGGAGGAAAAGCAGGTGGACAGACGGGGAAGGACGAGGGAGGGACAGATAGGGAACCACGACGTGTCCGTTGGGGCCGTGCCCCTCGGGCCGCCGCAACCCTCCTCCTCGATCAGCTCCACGGCGCCGTCCCTGCCAGACGAAGAGAACAGGTTCCGCACTTTGCCGGTCCCGGCCGCGAGTCCGCCGATCATCGCGGCGGCTCGGGCCAGGGCGGAGCAGCAGGGGCGAGGGGAGGGCCGGAGGAGCAGAGGGGGGAGCAGAAGGCACGGCGAGATCCCGAGCCGCCACTGCCACCCGACGGGCCGAGGCCCCCTCGAAGTCCACCTCGGGGGCCCTGGCCTTGACCAGGGAGCAGGAGGAGGCAAGAGGGAGGAAGGAGGGAGGGGTGAGGACAGAGAGGTGGGGGAGGAACGGGGGAGGGAGGGAGGGCAGGATGGAGGGAGGGGGAGGGGATCACGCATAGTCGTTTTCAACATCAGCAGGGGAGGCGCAGCAAGAGAGGTCCCCTAAAACGGGGTCTGGGGGCGTAGAGAGCTCCCCAAACCCTCGGCGACAGCCGAACGTCCAATGTTCACTGTGGTGCCAGTCCTCTGAACAAGCACGCTGACTAAACGCGCTGCCTTTCAACATAATCTCACTACGACTGGATGATGGTGACGTGCGCCGTGGGGTCAGAATCTTCGTCACCTCGCGTGCCATCTCCGTGACGAGCTGACGTGGGGATGTCGATGCACAACCCTTCCATTGCACTTTCTCCACGCCTTCGTATCGTCTGCCAATCCCTCGTGCTGGTTCCATTCTCTCGCAATGCCCAACCACAACTGACGTACCTAACGCTTTCCCGTATGTAGTTTTCGTACTGCCTCGTGTACTACAGCCTTTCGAACACAGCGTTTTTTGCTGTCGACGAGCAGCAGTCCACATGGGACCCTGGTATGCAAGACAATTGGTACACAACATCTACCTCTAGATGACACCGGGTACGTGGCTACCACAAAGCAGCTGCTTCTGACTACGTGTGCTTCTTCAGTTTGGCTCCCCTTGACGTCTGTGCACCTCTCGCTGAAATCTGCTTGAACACTGGCCTCGCATTAATCTTGATTTTGGTCCTCCGGTTGAGCAACCTTATGTGGCACGTGTCCAGCGTCTCGTGTTCCGTTCGCGATGGTGTCCACGCCGCGGCTCGTGCCCGTATTTTCCCAGTGCCCATGTGTTGCGAGCACTGTCGGGCGTAGTTGCTCCCGTTTCTGGTTGGGCAGCAAGCGAATCTTCTTGAAGTGTACAATGTGGATGTTTTTTTTTTTGGGGGGGGGGGACGATGCCGACGCGCAGAAGCAGAGCCCCCAGTGTACAATGTGGATGATAATGATCGTTTTATCCACGTGTGCCGCTGGACTGCTCGTGCGCGACACGGGCAGCCCGAGCACCCCGCACCAGCATGCCACGAGCCAATGCCTGCCGCCACAGAACTCCAAGACGCGCGATTGGCAGGCTGGAGCGCGACGCGCGTGAGGATCTGACGACCTCTCGACCTGGCTGCAATCCTGAATCTGCAGCCAGCGTGATGCAAACTCTGCCAGGCCCCCCATGGCATCGTGTGCGCTGCAAGCGAATGTGTCGCCGCGCCGTTTGTTCTGCACGCGCCCGAGTAGACGAAGCCAGCTCCGCGGCAATCCCACGGCAAACCTTGCGTCCGAAGCGGAGTTTGCCCTGGTTGCCGAGGCGCCCTCCCCAAGACGTGAGGCCGCGCGTCGGGACGAACGGCGCGGCGACATGTGCACATGTTGCCAAACCAACTCATGACCGATAGCTGGAGCTAGTCCATCACGATGCGCCTCTCCGTGGAGGAGAACTCCTTCTCGGCTAGAAGATGCTGGAGACGCCCACTCGGCTCTACAACGAAGTCACCGATAATGACTTGAGCGCCTGTGCGCCACTAGCGAACCAGAGCCTAGATCCGCCACCGTGCCTGCACGGAGTGGGCGTGTTAGAATGCTCCTTTTGCTGTCTGGGAGGCTTTAGACATGTTTCCAGGGGCGACCCCGCTCCTGCACGGCGATCCCCCCTCTCCCACCTGAAATTGCCCCCCTGAAATTGCTCTCCACGGCCATCTCGGCCGTCTGACGGCCGAGATGGCCTCCACGGCGGCTTCCAAGGCAGCCAAGATGACACCGAGACGGCCCAAGATGGTCCACGACGGCTCAAGAAGCTCCCAAGACGGCCTCAAGACAGCTGCAGAGGCCTCCAAGCCGGCCCAGGAGGGCTCTGATATGTCTTCCCAGAGAGCCAGGAGGAAGCCCCAAGCCATTGATTGTCCTTCGGCTTTTGAAGGATTTTGAGGTTCTCGCCTGTTTGGGTTTCCGATCACCCAAGACGGCCCAAGAGGCCTCCAATCTAGTTCCAAGACAACCCAAGAGGCTCCCAGGTCGGCCCAAGATGACCCACGTATCGCCCACGTTTCCTAAGAGGGCCACAAGACGGCCCTGAAGCGCTCCAAGAGGGTACCAAGACGGCCCAGAGAGGCACCCAAGGCGGCCTCCGAAGGCGTCAGACGGGCCAAGAATCTCTTAAGACGGCCCAAGAAACCCCAAGAGGCCCCAGGAGGCCCCGAAGAGAGACCCAAGAAGCCTTCTCCTCCTCCTCCTCCTCCTCCTCCTCCTCCCTACCGCGCGGACGAAGACGAGGTCGAGATCACGACCCTCTCCAGTTCAGACCAAATTCTGGATTGCCGCGGGGCGTGAACTCGACAGCCTTCCTACCGCGCGGACGAAGACGAGGTCGAGTTCACGAGCCGTCCGAATTCTGACTACTCGTCGGAACGGCGCTGCTCCTGCACCCAGCCTCCGTCCTGCTGCGCTGTTGCGCAGGAGCGGTGGCAAGGTTTGCCGTAGCCCGCTGGGTAGCTACGGACATGACCATGATGGGAGACGGCAAGACGATGTGCAAGAGGAGAGTGAGAGACCATCTGCTAAGTGAGGGGGGGAATGGATACTTCAACCCCGCGCACCCGGTCGTGGACCGAGGAGGAGGAGGAAGAGGAGGAGGAGGAGGAGGAGGAGGAGCAGGAGGAGGAGGAGAAGGAGGAGGAGGAGCACGAGGAAACAGAGAGGAGAGAGGGAGGAGGGATGCGACATGTACCAGGACGTGGGGGGGAAGCAAGGGGGGTGGGAGGGTGGGAGGGAGCGGGCGGGGCTCTGAGCCAAAGTGGCTGCGGGGGGCGAAACGGATGGACTAGAGGGGGGCCAAGGGGGGGGGTGAGCAGAAAGAAGAGGATGATGAGGAGGAGGACAACGAGGAGAAGGAGGAGGATGAGGAGAAGGAAGAGGAGGTGGAGAAGGAGGAGGAGGAATAGGAGGAATGGGCAAGGCTGATTCAGACTGCTACAAACAGTTGCCTGAAGCTACGAAAGAACGTGGGGGTGATGAGGGGTGCGAGGAAGAGGCGCTGTAGGGGAAAAGGGGTGGGGGAACACGAGGGAGGAGGAGGTGGATGATGATGATGCCGATGATGAGGAGGAGAAGGAGGAAGAGGAAGAGAAGGAGGAGGAGGAGGCGGCGAAGGAGGAGCGATGGCGGGCAGAGAAGGTGTCGATCGAAGATTGGGTAGCTCTGGGGCCGAGATTCCTCAACCGTTTTCGGTGGGGTCCATCTGCGCATGGACAGCCACCCAACGGTGGCAAATGCAAAGGTCTGAGAACCTGCGGTGCAAACTGTGCGGTGCGAGTGTGCAGCGACACATCTGACGTTCGATGGCAGAGTCTTGCTGCGACGCTTGAGCTACAGCATCGCTACACAACCAGGAATGCATATTTCTCGGTCTCCTTCTCCTAAATGGGCGTGATTCAAATTAGTGGTGTTTTTTTTTGCCGTTGCGGCGCTGACGGCTACCGTCAAGAAAGACATTTGTCGAGGAAATCCTACGCGGTTCTGCGACTTGGAACCGCCATCCCACTGTTTGGAAACCAGGTTCCAAATCCTGTTTCCGAAAAAGTCCCAAGCGAAAAACTCGTTCTCCCTATTGTTCGGAACCTACCTGTGTTGTTTGGAACCGCTTTGGAACCGTCAAGAAGGCCATTTTGGCGAGGAAGTCCTACGCGGTTCTTTGATTTGGAATCGCCATCCCATTTAGCCTTGTAAAAACTGGATTAAGGGTCCAAGCCTGGTTCCAACCCTCAGACTTCCCCCCCACCCCTCCCCGCCGCCCCCCGTTCACATTTTAGCGGGACGACGCGCCAGCCGCGCTCGCACGGCGGACGCGCATCGACCGACCCTGTGCAAGATCCACGAACTCTCACCACGGCACAGTACTCCTGATCCTCCTTGTGTTGCACATGTGTTGACATACGTGGTATTTGTATTTGTGTATATATATATATAAATGTGTATATATAAAATCCATTCCCCAAACAGTGCTTGCACTCACGCGGGCCTCTTACTTCTCTTCTAAAGAACGGCCTGGCGGCTATGCTGTCGCCGTCGCCGCCCCGTCGCCTCGCTTCTGGGGCTCATTTCTTGGAGACGCCTGGAGCCGCAAGGGCCAGCGTGCCACAAAGGAATGGGAAACCAGTGGAGGCTGTTGGTCTTCGCCCATCGGGGTCCCTTCGCAGAACCCCTTTGGAAGTCCCTTGGGGCCCCGTCGCAGCACCACAAATGAATGGGAGACCAGTGGAGGCTGTTGGTCTTCGCCTATCGGGGTCCCTTCGCAGGACCCCTTTGGAAGTCCCTTGGGGCCCCGTCGCTGTTGGTCTTCGCCTATCGTGGTCCCTTCGCAGAACCCCTTTGGAAGTCCCTTGGGGGCCCCTCGCAGCACCAGCAGCAGCAGCAGCAGCAGCAGCAGCAGCAGCAGCAGCAGCAGCAGCGCCGGCGGCCGCTGCCGCACCGCTGCGCCGGCCGTGCGGGGCGGCGGGGGCGGGCCCTTTACTCCCAGAGGGCCGCCGCGGGCCCGGGCTCGCCCGACGCACCCGCTGCGCGCAGCCGCCCGAAGCTGGCCGCGCGCACGAGGGGGGTAAAGGGGAGGGGGGAAGGCTTCTGACAAGAAGGCTGCCTCTTAGAAGGCGCCGGCCTCACATCTATAGGTGCAAGGCCCGCGCCTTCTCAGAGGCAGCCGCCTTCTAGAGAAGCCATCGCCCCTCCCCCCTACCCCCGACCCCTCTGCGCGTGGCTGACGATATCAGGCCTCGTCGTCTGCAGGCGCCTCCGGCAGCGCTCCCGGCTCGTCCAGCTTGCGGCGGCGGCGCCTTCTCGGGGAAGCGGCAGGAAGGGGGCTCAGACACGCTCGCGTCGTGAAAAGAATCGCGACGGTGGGTTCTTGGCTGTTTTCGGCCTCTCGGGGCTCTCGCCGGGCCGGGGGCCCGTCCGAAAACGGCCCTG